GCTGCTGCCAAAGGTATCTAAAACGTCACCCGTAGTGTAGTGTTCATGTGAAATGTAGGACGGAGGGGACCAACGACCCAGAGCGTCTCTGACATGATTTGCATGATTGGTTCATGCATCACCGGCCAAACTGGCTGGTAAGTTTTTATCAATACCCGTCAAAATGATTTTTAACCCGCTTTTGGCGGGTTGGCGGGTGTTAATTTCGAACCCTGCACAAGACCCCATATGATGAAAAAAATAATGGAATCACGGTTTCCCTTGCTCGGACGCGGGTCACCGGGGCCCCACCCTGGAGCCAGGCCTGGGGGTGGGGCTCGATGGCAAGCGCCTGGTGGCCAGGCCTGTACTCATGGGGCCTGGTCGGGTACAGCCCGAACAAGGCACGTGGGTCCCCCCTCCAATGGGCTCACCACCCATAGGAGGGGCCATAGGGGTCGGGTGAGATGCAAGCTGGGCAGTGGCCGAAGGCGGGGACCTTGGCGGTCCGATCCTCGGCTGCAGAAGCTAGCTCTAGGGACATGGAATGTCACCTCTCTGATGGGGAAGGAGCCTGAGCTGGTGCGCGAGGTTGTGAAGTTCCGGCTAGACATAGTCGGGCTCACCTCGACGCACGGCTTGGGCTCTGGAACCAGTCTCCTCGAAGGGGGTTGGACCCTCTTCCACTCTGGAGTTGCTCACAGGGAGAGGTGCTGAGCGGGGGTGGGCATACTTATTGCCCCCTGGCTGGGCGCCTGTACATTGGGGTTTACCGCAGTGGACGAGAGGGTAGCCTCCCTTCGCCTTTGGGTGGGGGGACGGGTCCTGACTTTTGCTTGTGCTTATGCACCAAGCGGCAGTCCAGATTACCCACCCTTTTTGGAGTCCTTGGAAGGGGTGTTGGAGAGCAGTCCTCCTGGGGACTCTCTTGTTCTACTGGGGGACTTCAATGCCCATGTGGGCAATGACAGTGAGACCTGGAGTGGCGTGATTGGAAGGAACGCCCCCCCCCCGATCTGAACCCGAGCGGTGTTTTGTTGTTGGACTTCTGTTCACATCATGGATTGTCCATAATGAACACCATGTTCAGGCATAAGGGTGTTCATATGTGCACTTGGCA